TCCAGCTTCACCTGACTGCTATTCTTTCTTGTTGTCAATTGAATTAGCAGTTTAACTGGCATGTTCACTCACTTCCAATGTGGTCTTTACCGAGGGAACACCACCTTCTCAATCAGCATTTTCCTATCAGCCCCAGTTGAGTGACACAGTTATTTCTGTGACCTGTTGCACTCCAAAAAGATACCACCTACTCTCCAGTTTCTTGCCATCTCTCCAAAATTACGGTGCTATTGAGGAGGTGACAGAAATCAAAACAACTACAAAGTTACTCAACCACTTCTGCTTTACTGGAGACTTCATTCATATGTGACACAAACCAAAAATTTTCAGAAGCCAGAAATTATCCTTCCAAGAACTATTCCAGACAGTTTGAAGAAAAAAAAAAAGTGTTAATTCCCTAGTTAAAAATATTGCAGCAGGCTACTTTTTTAGTGAGGCAAGAATGCTTAAGGTAGTTAAAAAACACCTACCTTTTTAAAGTCAACTGAAATGTAAAAAGCCCCAAATAATCATGAGTTAGTAAGGCTTATAAAAATATCATCTTTGAGCACATCCTTTGTAAAATCATCTCATTTTAAACATATCAGTACTTGAAAAAAATCCACCTTTGCAAGTTGGCCCAGTACCTAATTACCCTTAGTGCTAAAATAAATCCACATTTCTAGTGTGAATTCATCTAGCTTCATTTTCTTACTGCTTAATATTCCATGTCTGTTAAATTTAAGTAGCTCGTTACTAAGTATTTCCTATGTAGGTATTTACTAACTGGAATTAAGTCACTCCTCAACTGTTAAGTTAAACATGTCGAGCTCCTACAAAACCTTGCTGTGTTTTTTCCAGTACCTCACTCATTCCTATAGCTCTTCCCTGTGCCTTGTCCAGCCTTTTGTAGTCTTTCCCGAACTAGACAGTTTTCCAGGATAGGTTACGCTAATGCAAACAGAGACAAGACATACGTATTTTAACTGCATGACAATCTTTGATCAAACAACCTCCTTTAGCCAAGCACCAACTGTGAATGGCTGTACGTGTACATCCCAGTAAGGGATGTACTTTCCCAGCTTTCACTCACTTTTTCCTTGCATTTAAGTTCTGGAAACACATTGCAGGAACTATGGTTATTTCCTCCCAATTGTGTAGCTTCAGATTTGTGTTTGCATGGCTATATTTTGCAAAGCAAGCCAGGCTGTTTTACAACAGTAATTGATTTATACTTCTACTAGTCATCTGTCATCTTCAAGCTGCTCGGATTTTACCTCAAGTGACAGATGAAGGTATCAATCCTTTACCATGGAGTAAGGCCAGGAGCTAGTTTGCTAAGCCTCAGTGGTCTTCATTTGCAACTGCAATGTCAGCCAACATCTCTAATCCATTCAATTTCTTGTGTTTACTTTGTATTACTCCAGGGTTATGTTTAAATACTGTGAAGATACCGAGGCTCTACCCTTGGGCCAATATCTGGCCCTTCCCAAGAGCCAATTCCTCAGGAAGCCATAAATCATTTCCCTGACAGCACTCCGCTTCCTAAAACAAGCAGGTCACTATGTGTTGCCCCCTACCCCCAGCGTATGTAGCCACGGGCTCCCCTTACACAGCCCTCCAGGCTCTAAAGAGTCCATTTCTAGAACCATGAATTGCTAGAAAATGTAAAATTCAAGTTGAGGAAGATCTTTTAGTCACAAAGCAGGGACACAAGGCACAATTATTTCATTAGCTCTCTACTCTCAGCACTTTTCGGACTGCTTGCCTTGGCTTTGAGGAAGACATGCAGCGAACTACACAAAGCACACAACTTCGAAGTGTGGTTTATGTGGAAGCAGCACGTTACCACAACCGTAACTAACCAGGCAAGGCCTAGGTTCACAGGGATGGTGAAAAAGCTACCTGTGGTACAAGTTGCATCACATCTTTTCAGGGTGAGTTACACACTTTTGTCAAAGTAACTCTTGAGAAGAGAATGCCCTCCCACACAAGGACAGCCCGAAACTGCTGCAGCCAAGTCCATTTACAGGACAAGGCAGTCACAAAGCTTTTCCTAGCAAGCCCTACAAGCTGATGATGAAATGGCTGAACGCAAGCTGTTTCTGACGGAAGGACATCACGCGTTTTCATAGCAGGGTGGGATACTACATCCTTTGAGGCTCCAGACTTTCAGCGCTTTCAGTTAACTTTCAGTTAATGTTTTTAATGTAGTCACATCAAAACATTGTCATCTTTGGGATGCTGAAAACTTGAATTTCCACTTACTGATAATAAGCATTAACCCATTCTTGCTGGTTATTGCCATAGTGCTCTTCAGTAAACACTGACTTTGGAGGGTTTACATGTATTTAAATATTATTCTTCTTTCTTCCTCCCTCCCCCTCACACCCCATCTGGAAAGAATTATTCTGCAAGTCAAATGACAATCATTTGACTCACACAAAACAATATGAAACCAAGACTGTCAGTAGAATTATACCACATCCTTTAGGGGTTTAGTTTAGTTTCACATAGTGAAACATCTAATGGCTTTCATAATTTTCAACAGATAACTAGAAATTACCCATACCACAAACACAGCAGTGGATACACAGTTTCCAATAACGCTTAACTGATTTTTTTTTCCTATGCTTCGAAGAGAGAAAAACCTCATCATATGCAGAAATAAAATACGCTTTTTTTAAAGCATATTTAAGCATTCGGCTATTTTTAGATTTTTTTCCTCCCTAGAACAGCGTTATGCAAAAATCAATAGATAAGAGATTATCTTATTCTTGAGGACATAGCACACTAGTCATAAAGATACATGGTTGACATTATTCTAGATGTAAATCTGGAACAATATTAAACTTTAATCTTCCAAAACAAAAAAGCGAACCACTGCTTTTGTGCCCCCCCCCCTTTTTAACTATAATTTTTATTTAAATAAGACACGAGAACTTCTATACCAAAAAAATACAAAACAAAAGCCACACATTTCCTTGTGTAAAGCAATATTATGTGGTAACTTGAATACTGTTCAGCACAGTGGCTAGAAATAACAGTACACCTATGTACAACTTTTTAAACAATATTTGACAAATTTCTACAGCTGGATGTAGAATACAGTTGAGATAAACAACTGCTGGGAAATTTACATGACAAAGCATTAGCTTTAACACATTTGGTTCAAAACCTTTAAATCTGCTAAGAACAAATGTGCAATTTAATTAATATTTAGTTTCTCGTGGAAAAAATAAAAAGAACATGTAATGGCATTGCGAATATTGTACAGAGTTCATCACAGATCTAAAAACCACTCATCATATCCCCTGGTAACCTAACACCAATAACAAACTACGATTTCTTCTCTGGACATAACCAGAGCATAAAAAGGTCATCATACTGCAATGTTAATCTAGAAAGAAAAATATTAAAAGGAATTGATACTTACATCACTAGTATTTTCTCCCCTTTATCTTCAGTCTATAAAATATATAGTGTTTTCACCTAGGCCTGAGATTAGTAGGGTTAAAGATGGCTGTTGTGTTTCAGGAAGGTCTTTCACATGAAAATGGTTAGAGACCGATCTCTCTCTCCTATATTTTCTGCAAGGGGACTCAAAAAACAGTGACTGTTTTATAGGCTGCAAATTCCACCTTGTAACATAGTATTAACAAAACCTCGGTAATAAAAAGGAAACGATGCTGTATCTCCAAAGAAAGCACATATTTAGCGAGTAGTTATTGGTGGCTCACTCTCACCCCCCTCCAATCTCATCTTCAAAAGAGGAAAAAAAACATAATGGAGCAAGTTTAAATGCTCAGTAGCTGCAGGCTACTAATCTCTTCAATTCCTGGAAAAGGTGAACCTTACTCTCTTAGGAGCAGACAGCATAAATGTAGTTCCACTGAGCTGAAAGCAACGGAGCAAGAACATCAAGTTTATTTTGCCTTTGGGGTCCTCTGTATCACAGGAAATTATCTCTGAAAGCAATGCTCCTCTTGTTCCAGTACAACAGAAGAGCACCACTAACCCATTCTTGCCGTGTACTATTTTGAGAAAGTGTCCAGCCTGCAAAACCAGGATTATTTTACAAGGATTTTTTTTATTCACACTTAAGGAGGGGGGAAAACACACTTTTACACACACAACTTAAGTAACTGAAAGTTATGGGAGAAGCTTTGATTAAGTAACATGAACTTAAACCTATTGTTTTCCCCACCCCTCTTAGAACACCCACTTGCTACTTTTGGACTTCAATCCAAACACAATTACTCACTACATAAATAAAATGCGGCTCATCTAACACTGCTTGACAAAATCTGAAAACCTATTTCCAACCAGCAAATGAATGAACATTTCCAAAAGAGAAACTAAACATTAATTTGACGTTTAGACGGTAACAGTAGCATTTCACATCCTTAACTGCCAACAAAAACATGAGAGGAAATCCCCGTCACCCCCTGTGAAACCTGAAAGAATTTCTGTCCTTGAACAAAAACATTCTTGTCTTTCAAAATCCTCTCACACACAACGTGGAATGTTTCTCATGTACAGCCTAGTACTGAACACTTTATTTGCAACAGTTTAACAGTCATTAACTGAGCAACACCTGAAACCTTTAAATGCCACATTTTTACATATATTGAAATGACAGTAAATGCAACAGTTGTTTTGCTTGTAAGCACATGACAAAGTGATATACATCACAGATTTGCTGGTTCTCCTCATGTTCACCCATGTCCAGGGTCATCGTTCACCTGGATCTGAATGCACTTATTCCAAGGAAGTGGAATGTAATGAGGAAATATTAATGCATAAAATAAGGAAAGGCAAAAGAGTGATGTTCCCTCTTTAGCTTTGTAGCTGTAAAATATTTTATATCCCAATATGATATACATTCCAAGTTACCTGAGTTTACACTTCGAGAGAAGTACCTGAAGCTAGGCCATAGGGTGGGCACTGTGCAACTGTTGTGGCCATTTTTTTTTGTTGTGGCCATTTTTTTTTTTTTTTTTTTTTTTTTTTTTTTTTTTTTTTTTTTTTTTTTTTGCATTGTGTGTATTACAGAAGTTAGAAACATAAACACCTGGATCAATTGTAAACATAATCCTGAAGTACAGTATTTTCCATAGGACACAACACAGCAAGACATTTTCTATTCAGACAGGCAACTTTTTTTTTATATATATATATAGAGCTTATTTATACTGTAGAATTTGAAACAGAACACAGGACACAGTACTAATCTGGTCAAACATACTATGAAATGCATAGTCTCCACTTAAAACGCTTAATGTTACATGGATTCTGCAGGCATTACTGCTTTCTCACAAAAAATGCTGAATATGAATTCTGTCCCTGCCAAGAACAGCGTTGAGATATTTTTTCGAATGCTGCTAAGTATTCCGTGTTGTTCTCAAAGGTTGCCACCTCATGCAGATGTATCTGAACTATTATCTCCTCAATCCTTGTTTCAGGGCAGAGGCCTGCTCCACCTTGGTCTAGATCAACACATAGCTCTGAGGAGAGGAATGGTCTTCAGTCTGAATTTCTTGCAAAAGCGGCTGCTGCTGTTGGGACGGTTGCTGTACCGGGACCTCTGTAGAGTCCATTGTGCTGGTGTCATCTGACAGAGATGAGAAAGAGACCCGAGAGGAAAGCTGCTCAACAGTCAGGGTGCTCAAAGCTGTGCTTTGACCAGAGTTTGGAGAGTTCTTCAGCGTCAGGTCTGAAGCGGGAAGGAGGGGGCCCAGAAGTTTTACAGGACAGAAAGCTGATCCGGTTGGGATGAAATTAACCTTGTTTTTGTCAGGACATGAAAAGAGAGGGGCTGAGACAGGCTGACGAGACCTACAACAAGAAAAAAGATTATATACCTGGCCAACCAAGATGTTTTATACATCATGAACTTTGTGGTTCTACACGTTGCTAAAATGTGAATGACAAGGAATGGGATTAATTGGACAGAGGGGCAAACATCTTCCATATTGGTAGTCAGCTAACTGATCCACAGCATTAAAAATAGTACCGTCACAAAAATGACTTGATAATTACTGGATAAACATGCAACTTCCAGCAAGAAAAATCTGCAGTACATATGCACGTGAAAAAATGCCGCGGTAATTTAGAATGGCACAAATTCTTCTTTAATAAAAACAATGCAGCAACAACACATTCAGCCATATTAAATCCTTTTGAGAACCTCCATGAAATAGACCTCTCCTTTCCCATATTCCGTAATTTGTCTGGAGGCTTCCTCCACAACCCAACATTGCTCCTTCACCATCCAGCAGGCAATGAATGCTGTTAGAGCAAGACACGTCCCCTCCTTAATTCTTTCATCCACAGGAGCTAAGCATGCAACCTTGACAGCATGTGCTCAAATACTGCTGGGTCTAGGGGAAAAAGACACGATGTCCAAGAGTTTAATTTCTGATTCCTTGCTCAGCGAAAATATTGAGCAAAGTCTATGCCATAAGTATACTACTGTCTACAAACACTTTACAGAGGTTTCATTCCATTTTATATGTTTTATACGTATCAAAACGTAACCTATGCTTGAAACTGATAAAGAATTATGACAAGGAAAGTTTTTGTTTTAAGCCACAAACATTTAAAAAGTTAGTAAAAAATATATGGAAAGAGGTTTATAAATGCTTAGGAAATTAAATGTACCTTATCTTTTCTGCTTGGATTTTTGTTGCCTTTTATAAATGCACAAAAAGAGTTCAAGCATAAAAGACTCCATTTCCTCTTCAAACCAACGTGAACACTTCAACTTCTCTTCTGTACAAACTCTAAGAATAGTTTGCTCCTGAAAAACTCATCAGCTGGAATAGTTTATTCATCTGCAGTTGAATAGGCTCAGTAAACAGGTTTACTGCTTTGCAGATACCAGCTGATATAAAAGGCATTACTTACGACATTTCCTCAAAGACCTTCACTCGCTCACATCCCTCTGGGGGCTCTCGTTTGAACATGTAGCTGTTGTTTGGTTTGGGAGATGAGGCATACTTGGGCAACGGTGAGCTACTCCCACTGTCTGAAAATTTAAAGCAGTTATATTACTAGAGATTGAGAGTGCTTTTTAATTAAATTTGATTTCCAAACAAGATGCCTTTTTTCACAATTTAGCCACTATGCCGGTTTGCTTCTACCACAATGCTTCCTTTATTGCAGGCTATTTCTAACACCCTTGTATAGCACATTTCTCCTGAATAAAAGCTTCAGTGCAGCAGTAATCTACCATATAACAACACGTAACAGGAGGATATTTTTATCCAGAACACTGCAATCGGAACAAAGCAGAGCTGTGATCCTGGAAACAAATACGTTCTTTATTATGTATTTCAAAAAACATAAATGAACAAGGTAATATGCATAATACATGCAGAAGAATTATGAGTGGTAATGATAATACGCCTTCTCACCGTATAAACACAGTTATTGAAAATGTGTGTATACAGCATGTTTCTTATTTTAAAACATCATTCTTCACTGGAATATTGACCTCATTAGTCTCATGAATAGTTCAGAAGTTGCAAAGAAGCAAAGCATGTTTGTAGCACAGGTACTGATACCTCATCATTACAATGTCCTACCTTACTCGCTTCACAATTGTGAAGTTGTTTTAGTATCCAAAATAAAACTTCCACAATTCAGTTCTCTCATTACTACTAACTATATGATACAGGTATTCTTCGTAACTCTAGCTGTCTGTGTATATTTTACTAGACACACTTAGAACTAAAGATGTGAAGATCTAGGACAAAAGGCAATAGGCAGATTTCTTTGTACTTCTCGGAAAATATAAGAGAGAAGGCTCAACTCTGGTAATGACAGAAGCACAGAAGTTTGAAAAATTAAGACTATGAAAGGGCTCACTTTAAACACTCATCTTGACAACATGATGTTCAATGCATTAAGGAAATAAAGTAGATACAAAAATAATTACAGAAAATTAGCTTTCTGCAGTGGCTTCTACCTTTTCAAAGAGCAACATCTATCTCAGGCTAGTATTAGTGGCTCCCTATTCTCTGCTTGGACTTACAATTAAAAAAATGAAATGAAATGCCAAGGTTAAAGAGGATCTCCCAACTTACAAACACACCTTATTTGGAAAGAAGTAACTGCTCTTGCTTTAGCTCCTTTTGAGTCTTTCCACCGATGTGGGGTACCCTACCATTTTTAACTCAGATACCTTTGTTTATTCTGCTGTTGGTCATGTGTGCCTTTTCAGCAACAGTGGAAAACCAACCAAAGCTTTCAAGCACTATGATCTAGATTCACTGAAGCATATAAGGTTGTCTTTAACAGCTTGCAAACAGTAACTACATAAACTTTTGTATAACCATGACTCAAATACAATGGCTAATCATTAGAAGTTTTGAAACATCTCTGCTTCCTCTTAAAACAAGACACAAATCAACTCAAACATCACGCTTCCCTTTGGAGATTTACTATGAAAGATATGAAAAAAGAAACATTGAAGTGAACCTCAGCTCTTTCCTGCTATAGAGTGAACACAGAACTTCTACTTACAGAATTTTAGGTGTTAACTGTACGAAGGCAGAAAAAGCTTAGAGACAATACAGATATTTGCCAAGCTGGGAGCATGATGGTCCTGTTGGCATCTTTCCACTGTTGGCCCACACAGCTCATTCCAAACACAGAAATCATTAACAGAACCCAGACAGTTTGTTTCCTCCTTCTAATATTTAAAATTGAAGATCCAAGTTTCTATTTAAAAAATTTGAGACATAAAATGTGCTACTGTTCATTCCACTAAATAGTGGAAAACGGTGGAAGTACATCCAAGGAAAGAATCGAACTGAATTCAAAGTCAAGTCAGTTCTTGGAAGATTTAGAGTCTTGTCTAGCCAGTTCAGTTTTCAATCAAGTTTTCGGTTTATTTAGCCCTGTTTGGCTGAAACTTTCTATATAAGACAGCTGTTAAACAACTAAAAAAAAAAAAAAATTATATTGCATAATTTAACCATTCTGTTTCTCTCTTTACCCTTCCAGCTTTTAAAGCTTACAAAGATGTTATCTTTTCATTTTGACCAAACACATACCACACTACTATTTGAAAAATACGTGTGGTTATTAGGAGGCTCACATGTACAAGCTTGGTGTTGGTTCTACACGTACAGCAGCAGTACGAGAACAGAAGGGTACTGGGAAAACAGGCCACGAGTTAAAGTGGTAAGAGGTGGAATTTACAGCTTAAACCAGTCTCCACTTGTGTATCCTGTAAGCTCTTAAGTGGTAAACTGTCACATTATTAATCCTGAATGACACCGCAAATGTGTATTCTCCAACTGTGCTATTTACACATTCTTTTACTGTCTCAGGGGCTGCAATGCATGAGCCTCCATGTCAGAGTACGTGTCTGCATCTCCCACTCTTCCACCAGTAGGGTGTGCTCTGCTGGCGTATTTCAGCCAACTAATCAAATTTCGTGAAGGTGACAATGACTGAAGATTAATAGATGTAACCTTTAAAGTAAGTTTTGTTACCATAACCACATAGCAGACAATATGGAGTCTTATTACACAGAATTGCTAAACATAAATATTCAAAATGGATATATTCTGTTATCTAGAAAATGTTTCAGATTGTAATTAAACACTAAAAATACTATTTTAATCAGAAGACTTAATACCACAAATTTTAGCTTGCATATATTACAGCAACAAAGGAGGCAAGCTAAAAAAAGAATCTGTAAAACAATTTTTTGAGTGACAAAACTTAAAGGAAACAAGAAACTTTGCCAGTGAGCCTTGGGATTTGTTTTGATAGGTTCAAAAATACCTCTGTTTCTTAAGACTATCCAAAGACTTCACATACAATTTTCATTTTAAAAACTATGAATCAGAAGCTCAGAAGTTGAAAAGTATCTTCAGATCATCTTCATGAATGTGTTGCTTGTAACAGCCTGCTAGCAACAGTGGGAATACACAATGCTACACAAAAGCACCTAAATCAAAATCCCTGAAAAACAGGTTATACTATCTATTTTGTACAAAAAACGCCAAATTTCATCTGCTTATACCTTGGGACGCCTTTGAACTTTACCTCTGTCATAGCTGCTAAGTATGCTATATAGCACTCTGAATTATAGTCTCATGGACTAGAGTATCATAAAACGTATCTAGTGAAACCGGTAGCTTTAATGCAGCAAGGCAGTCACTTGCCTTGCAATAGGCTGACATTTGAAAACAAAATCATAAAGCCAGGTGCCATTAAAATACCTTCTCTCCCACCCTTCCCTCTCTGCTCCAATCAATACCATTTAGTATTACTGCTCCATTTGGAGCACTATTGTGGGCCTTTTCTGAAATTTAGCTTTCACTTTCTTTTGAAAAATTCAATAGATTTAGCAGCTTCTTGCAGAAATGTAAACCAAACAGCTGATACCGTCCAAAGAGCAGCTGTGAGGGCCTCAGGCCAAAGCACAGCTTTGCACAAGAAATAAAAGATGCTTTAGAAATGTAAAGCAGTGCTGTGTCTGTACAGAGTGCTGGCTCCTCTCACTGCTCATGTCTCTCAGACAAACTACTAACCTTCCTTTCCGATTCAGCAACACACTCGGGAGCATTCATAAAGCTGATAATTTTATTTTTTAATGGTAAAGCCAGCTTATTCCCATAGAGAGGAAAATAAAACCTCAACTTGAGGAAAGTAACAGAAAAATATCTTGGGTTTAAAATGTCTACATTTGGTTATACAATGCATTTTTCAAAATTTAACAGGCCTCACAGCAAACTCAAGACAGTTTTATTCTAGCATCACAAAAACCTTTAAAATGAAGGTGCGAAAAACTTCGTGAGTTTTGTTGTATAAAGCAGTTAACATCCACAACAGATGTTAATAAACTGTCTCTCAAAACTTGCTATTCCCTTATAATTTCTACCTATATCTCTCATTTATCTGTAATTTAACTATTTTGAAGATAACATTCTTATTCAGAACAACTGGCCTGTGGGATCTTAATGATCTGAGAGTAAAAGGTACCTTTCTGACTATACTTTTATAACCTCTGAACAAATTACTTTCTCTTGGATGACCGCTACGCATTTTTCTAGTTTCTATCTTGTCCTTGAAGAACAAAGTTGTGATGAGCAGTTCAAGCTTTTATCTTTCATAAGCACAGTATTAAGTACCTTACTTAAAACAATTTAAAAATGCAATTATATTAACTTTACAAAGCTGGCTGTTTATCACCTGCTACTACTAAAGCAGACTTTTGATACAAACCTAGCATTAAAGCCAGTCTTAACTCATTTATCTGTAATTTAACTATTTTGAAGATAACATTCTTATTCAGAACAACTGGCCTGTGGGATCTTAATGATCTGAGAGTAAAAGGTGCCTTTCTGACTATACTTTTATAACCTCTGAACAAATTACTTTCTCTTGGATGACCGCTCCGCATTTTTCTAGTTTCTATCTTGTCCTTGAAGAACAAAGTTGTGATGAGAGTTCAAGCTTTTATCTTTCATAAGCACAGTATTAAGTACCTTACTTAAAACAATTTAAAAATGCAATTATATTAACTTTACAAAGCTGGCTGTTTATCACCTGCTACTACTAAAGCAGACTTTTGATACAAACCTAGCATTAAAGCCAGTCTTAAAACCAAAATCCACAAGTAAGTAAGTATCTACTCATTGTGAAGTTCAGCAATAAATTTTACTCCAATTAGCTGTTCAAAAAATCCAAGACAGGAGATAAAAACCCTTGAAAAGCATTAAGAAGGTTAGATGCACTATTTCAAACCATCTTCACTCGCTACTGCCAATGAAGTACCACTGAAAATTCCAATTATTGTGACAACTGAGTACTAACTGCAAAAGGAATGATTCTTTTCATTTCCTTGCTTTTTAACTTATATTTGTTATCAGCACATATATGAACAAATTTACCTGTCAAGACGTTTCTTTGTGTGCTAATACTTTAGTGGATGTCTCTATAGTGATTCATCTTGACAATACATTACAATTCACATGCATACTATAAGAAAGAGAAGCAGGGTGGGGGGGGAGCTAATATCTTTGTTATTTTTGGAGCATGGCCAACTATCATGTTGAGCTAAGACTTTTACTTTGATGTGGTTAACTTACATGTGTGCACACACCCACCCCCAATTCAGGATTTGGGCAGGTGGATTTGTTTTCCACTACTTCCTTTTAAATCCAAGATGGTAAAGCAATACTTTTCAGAAACCAAGAAAAGCTAGTATTTCTCCCGCTGCCCTCCCCAATCTTATTCCTAAATTACTTTAAGAATTATTAAAGAGAATATTTACAGAAAAAGCTTAACCTTACTTATAACCTCAAAATAGCTTATTAATAAATCTACATTAAATCTTAAAAGTTTTCATTTCCTCTGTGAAACTTACTACTCTTAGCTTGCATGTTTCAACCAAACCCTGCATCCCTCCAAACTGAAGTCCATGTTTCCGGCTAGCTGACAAGAAGCCCAAGAATAATTTCATTAGTGAACAGTTGTCCAAAAAAATCCGTCTTTTTACACTGGTGCCTGTATTTTCATACTACATGTTCTGTCAGTAACTCTTTATTACTGAAACTCCAGTTTAGTCCCTCTACAAAACCAAATGACATTTTACAGACTTTGAAAAAAATGCAGGATATTGACATATAAACACATAAATTATTCAGAAATTTTGGGTTGTTATGCAACATACACAGACAAGCAATTACTCTCCATCAGATTGTTCAAACTCGTATCTGAGCTCCTCACTAAATAGCTTCAAGTGGAATGTAAGAGTTCAGATGCAGAGTACTTTTAAAAGCAGTCCAAAACTTCATCATCACCATTTTGATCAGCAAGTAACTCACCCATGATGAATATATAGTCTGCCACAAACCTTCTTGAAACCTTTTTTAAACATAAACATGTTACAGTCTGAATTCTTCACATTAGAATCTTCATAAATAGTTAAGACTGTTTGCTGTGCTCCTCTGACGTATTTATGGAAGATGTTTGTGAAGTTTCACAGACAAGAGGGAAAAAGATATGTAAACAAACAAAACCAATTTTAAGATAAATCCTCAATCCCTCCACAACCATTAAACAAAAACAAAAACTGATGTAATGAGTAAAATGAAGGTAGTTGTAAAAGCAGGACACCACATGCCTTCCATAGGTAAAGGCGGGCCATTCTACTCTCACCTTTATCACGGTCATAGAGTAAATCTTCTGTTGAGCAAGGACTCCCATCCTGAGATTCAGGAGGGCAAAAGGGAGAGACACATGGTGAATGACTGCTGCAGCTGCTGCTGCGCTCCTGGACAGACGGAGTCTGAGTGTCAATGCTTCGTGTACTACTACTACGATAGTGAGCAGGTAATGGGGCCCTTCGACCATCAGGGATATCCAAAGGCTGCAAGAGAAACAAGCAATTCAGGTTACAGAGAAAAGATCACACTCCTAAGCAATGTCAACTCAAACTGAAGTAACGAGGCAAGGCCTTAAGAATAGCAAACAAGCCATTTTTGAAAGAACAACTTTTACACAAAAAAATAATGCAGCATACAATGGACACAACATACATTAATTACGCTGAATGCTGCGACAATGTGCAGATGTTCCAAGCCAACTATATCCTCTTAATGCAAAGTTAACACCAAAATGCACTTCAACACATGCTAGTATTATGGTTTTGTACTTTTTTATGATAGTTTAAAAAGGCAAATCTCCCCAACAAATAGATCTCTAATTATACTTAGTAATACAATTTTCAATAAAGGTCACTGTTATTATGGAAGAAAAACAAGTACCCTGACAGACATCACATTTGGATAAAAGGGAAAGTAGAAAATGTCAAATACAACAGCATACTATTGCCGTAACAACCAACTGAATTACAATTATAAATGAAACCATCCAAGTTTTGCTAGTGAGTCATGATTCTCTAGCACACCTCTACATTCTATCCTTCACTTCTGTAGGTGACCGCTGACAAAATGGCAACTAAGTAGATGATGCACAGGCTTACAGAAGGTTCACAAGCTTTGTCTTGAACCAAAGCTAGTAAGCACTGCCTGCTCGTATCAGCCTAGTTGGCACTGGCCAGAGTGATCTCGCATCCCATTCTGCAATACACTGCGTAGACATGTTCACAGTAGCAGACTGGCACGCTCTACTTACCTGTCCTTCCCAGTGGAAAATTAGTTTTGCCATAAAGACAGCACTGCTTTAATTGTAAGAAATCAAATGGGAATTACGGTTTTGCTTATTACAGTTTTGCTTAAAAGTGAAGGGGAAAAAATGCCTGCAAAATTTAAGTATCATTTTTATCCTCACTTCAGTGAGGATTGTATTCAAGCCATAGAGAACAGCTTTAATGTTCTAGCTACAAAAAATTGATGTCTTTTTCCTTCTCACTTCGAGTGAACATTTTTATTTTATTGCTTTCCTCTTCCCCATATATTCCAAAACTATTAACAGCTTGTTCCAGAGCCTAAAATTCAACCCAACGCTTCTGCTAGCAATGAGGACATGAAACCTATTGGCCGAGTATCGCATTCTCCCCTTTTCAGCAATAGTCTATCCAGAAAACCACCACATATTATACAAAGAGGCAGACACAGCAGAGCAGGAAGATCCTTTTCTTCTTATGAGCCTTCCAGTTAATACCATTTCACATTTCAATTAAGAGCAAAGAAACACACTATGAAGAGAACATTACAGTTGCTACATCAAATGCTGAAAAGTTTGGACACAGCTATGTGGTCTGTTCCAACAGCTCAGTTCACATTGCATATGTGTTACAACATGACTACATGTTGCTATTCCCATCACCCCCAACAGGCCATGACTCATTCAATGCACAAGATACACCTGAAGCATTGTATCATTTGTTACACAGACAGAAGAGAGGTAGAAAACAAGACTGAAGCTGTAGAAGGAAAACAGTCTCATAATTAACGTAACCAAAAAAATAACTGCCATGCAGAACAGCATTTTTATTTCCGTCTCTGCCACAAAAATGCTATGAGATGTCAGGAAATCATCTGAACCAACCTCTCTCTTTTATGGCATCTTTTTTGGATGCCCAGTCTATGCAGGACTGATTTGCAAAAGTCTTCAACATTCACAGATGCAGAAGGAGACTATGGGAGCTACGCTTTAAAATCCTAAAATGGCATGCAGTACCCTGAGTTACCTGAAGAATCACATTATAGAAGCCTGATGGACTTGTGTTTCTCCATCCATAAAGTGTAGATAATATAATATTTCTTCTCACACAGGCGTGACAAAAAGAACAAAATTTCAGACACTCTCCTATTATATCGAAGCAAAAACCCAGGAAGAAATTCAGATTTCTGACTTCAGAACAACAGTTAGTGAGCATTAGGACACATATCTAATGAGGAGAAAACAAAAACACCAAACAGCTGCTCATTAAGTGCATATACTATGCTCTACATAACAGGTAAAGCAAGGATTCCAGGGAGGGGAAAAAAACAGTAAGTGATCACATAATTAAAGACTTCAGGATAACACAGATGTTCTTCCACACCTGGAGGAACAACATAGTCTTATGTAGTCAGGAAGTAGATCCCAAATCACATATTTCAACCAACCTCCACTGAATTAAAATTTGAGGTACAAAAAGTTATCTGTATTTTTAGACATGCCTCTAAATATACACACAAGTAGAAAAAACTAAAAATATTTATCACTCTTTCCAAGTAAAACAACTTTTAAGGCATAGAAAATGCCAGCAAATATTTCAGATTACTGTGCTTCTGTATTTATCTTTCCCTTAATATTGAATCCAAGTTTTGACAAGTGCAAAAAACTTCATGAAAATATCAACTAAAAGTATTCCACTTTTTAAAAACTTTATGTATTAAACCTGATCAACATAAAAAAAAAATGCTTTAGAAGTCACTTTCCGTGAGTCATGCCTAAACTATTCTAAAAACTGAAGTCCTCACAACCTTCGAACATAAGAAACAGGGTAACTAATTTGGTACAGCTGCTATTAGTTTTCATAACACTCAATGCATGGAAAATGACTAGAAATTACCGCACTCTGTATACCCTTTTTTTTTTTTTTTGCAAGTGTCCAGTCATGTACTAACCTTATGCCAAATGCATTCTGACAGGACACCCGCCAACCCCTATGGGACAGTGTGTTCTTGGACATAGTTACATACTGCCCTCATCTTCCTGCAAAGGTATGGAAACGCTCAATTTGACAACAGCATGCATTTCTCAATACACTGTTAAAATTCACCACCTTGTTTTCAGTATCAATCTTTTTGCTGGAAAAAAACAAGAACACGCTATTTATTAGCATCAGGAATGCTACTACGATATAATATACCAATGTGAGCCTTAAAAATAATCTGTTCTTCACAAGCTTTACATCTATTTAGGAGGCAACTTCTTGAGAGTAAAGCATTCAATGCTTTTGATTTAAAAACTGTACTCTAGACTGGAACACAAAGGCAGACATAGGAAAGTGCTTCTTCCTTCTAGCATCAATGAAGTCATCGATGCATTAGATAAGGTGCAAGTGCAAAAAACCATAATGTATCCTGGGAAGGAGCACTTGGAAAAAAACCAGACTTTTCAGATGAAGGATATGAAGATTTAAGTAAGGATCCTCTGAATCTGCGCAAATTAGAAAAAGTCCTTTTATTACAGGATTAAGTTTTCCAAGAGGTGCATAAAACCATCTTGCTATCTATTTCCAGAAGCATTAGAAATCAAACAACACATTAATCATTTTACTTCTATTGTGTGATAGTCCATCAAAATTGCTTCATTTCTAATTACTTCTGTATACTTGAAAGATGGTTCCAGTAATATTTTTTTTTCTAATAGGAGACCCATGAACATGTCCATGTCCTCCTACAGGGCACTTTTAATTATTTTCACAATGTACTATGTAAGAGGGAACACCTCTTACCCCCTACAATAAGTCCATCATCTTACTGTACCAAAGCCTCCAACGTTTGTGTTGTGGAGTTACAACGGGACAAAGAACAAAAGCCTGTCACAACTTCACAAAAAGCTGATTCCCTCTTACAAGTTATGGTGGGATCAGAGACACACCATCACAATTTCCTGGAAAGCTAGTCAGCAAGTTATAAAACAGGAAGGAAAATATATTCAGGATCTTTGAATAAATGCATTAGAAAATTAATTAAAGTTTATTAATAAATCTGAGAAGAAATAGGCGATTAAGAAGTGACTTAAAAAAAGCCAACTTTAACTTAGTTTTATGAAAGAAAAAAGAGAACACTCACTAACTAAGCAAGATGAATGATCTGAAAAAGTATACACATACATGGCTAAACTGAAAAGAATGAAATATTTGGAATGTTTTGACCACTTACAATGCAATCCCTCTAAACTTTATGGTCAGTTAGATTATTAAAACGTGATGACATAATGACATTACTGTTAACAACTATGTTTGTGAAACAAAAATAACAAGACTAACTGTACTTTTATAAGTACAATTTCTATTATCTTTAAAATATTATTAAAAAAAAGCAAAGAGCATTTCAAAGAACTAACAGAACTAAGTCAGCATGAGAGAAGACAGAAGACATATTCCAAATCAATTTATATATTTTTTAAGAAGTAGGATTACAAAAATTCAAGTCAGCAAAAGGCAAAACAGAAAGCATGTAACACCATATCCTACAAAACCAAAAAACAAGTCTAAAAACTAAATTAAATTGATTCGTGTATCTGAAGACTAAGCAAGGAAGTATGAAGCTGGGAGGAAAGTTTCACCAGTTACCCATTTTAACTGGGAGCTAAATTAAAAAAGTAATTCAAGTAATCTCCATAAAACTATCCGTAAAACTGCTTTAACCTTAAGCTTATTTTTGTCCTATATATCACCTAGTCTGATTTCAATATACGAACTAAGAAACAGTTTGTTAAAAAAAAAAAATTACAAGTTTATACTGAAGAGATGAGAGACTAATAGAAAAAAATTCAAGAACACTAGACTAAAATTTTAAAAGTTAACAGAACTAAAATGCATTTTATTTTACTTGGGACAGCCCAAACGTGGTTATTGAAATGAAAAGGAAGAAATCAGAAAGCTACTAATGTAGTACCTAAATTTGGAAAAAAAAACAAACCAAAACCTAAAAAAATTAGGTAGTGAGCTGCACCTAAAATAAAGGTAATATTCCTTCTCAGTGTTTTTAGCAGGTTGTACGTTATTCCCCAAATCCTTCCTGGCAAATGAATACAGATTCACAGTAGGGCACAAAGTGTTTTATGCAGCTGGATAGATCGATTCATATGAAAATTAAGGTTTGAACATGCACTGTTAAAACTGTGAAGCAAACGTGGAAACAGGGTAAAAGAAACCAGCTGAAAATCCAGTCGCACACCAATCTTACAAGCGACTCTACAGAATAATTTATCCTTCACACATCACCCAAAGCAACCAACTACCTTTGATTGCTACTTTAAAATACTTTCTAAAAATACAGGATGTTACAGCAAGAAAGAATGGCAGAAAATTGAAAACAACCCAAATTGTTTCACTAGCAGTGAAACTAATGAAGTTTGGTTTCCTAAGGTTTATCTTTTGTTCAGTAATTCCTAACCTTTAACCTAGCTGCCTCAACTCCCCTAGGCTAAAAGGAAGCTAAATTGTTGTTATTAGGAGAAAGTTCACCAGCAGTAAGATTGAGTAAATTACTCTTGTTATGATCTTCCAGAAGTAAGCTATGAGATCTAGTAAGCTCAAAGACAGTGCTAGGAGTCCCACTTTAGGTCCCACTAGACCAGATTTCACAGAAATTAACAGTTACATAGCAGGAAACACCCCTCTGCCCACAAAGATGGACTTGACTTCACAGGCAATGTCTAATTTATGACTTACTTTTGTGTCTGAAGACTCTCCCCAGCTAGATGTTTGGAGGAAGGGTTCATGATTGCCTTGGTTGCGTAAACTGCTGAGCACCTCTGGCCCCAATCCAACAATGCACTTAAGTATGTGCTTAACTGTTTTGCTGGATCAGAGCCAGTACATTCAGTAACTTAGGAGACCGAGTTCTGCATCCCAAGTAATAAGCTGTTAAAGCCCAAGGACAACATTTACGAAGATGATTTGTCTGATAAATAAATGAAATGTCCTCCAACCACAGGAATTTACAACCCTAGCCATAGCAACATCAACGGTGGCACTGTAATACATACCTTTTTATACTCTCTTTGGAGATGGTGCAACAAGGTTTATTGATTGGTGCTTTCTGTTTCAGTTTGTGTGTTTGTTTTTTTCCTTATTCCGCTGTTACAACACACACCCCTTTCTAAAGGGATGAGACAGCCTTAGGAAAGCAAACTTAGCATAAAACAGACTACTACAGTATTTCATTCTTAAGACTGCTTAGTCCGCACAACTAAGCGTCTGGAGAAGCCAAGACTATGCCAAAACTTCCTAAGTTTACTGCCAAAATTAAGAACTACAAATATCAGATTTTGGAATCTTAAACCTCTGATTAAAGTTTTACAACTTGACTTGTACATTGAATTGCTATTACATGACCATTCACAAGAAAAGAACCTACATCTTAGAGAAGGTAAGAAAAAACAGTAGAGTAGTTTATTCCACAGCAGAAAGTTTTCATTGGCTATTTAGGAAACAGTGGCTGTAAACCAAGTATTTCACGTTTTAAGTGTCATCTAAGCACTCCAGTGCTCCTCAATCACAATTCCAATGCTCCAGTTCTCCCACGTAAGTAAAGCTGCCCTGTTTGTCAGTATTTCCCATACGGAGATCTCCCATGACAGATCACAGTGGTTTCATGAAAGTAAAACGGTCCACATTCAGTTTATGGAAGAAAAGCTTTAAAACCAAAAAGCAGAGCATAGCACAGGAAACTTAAGTCTTGCCTAAGAAAAAGAATGCAAAATGAAGCAAATAAATTAACCTCCTGGTCTCTAATTACTTACTACTGTAGCATGAAGTACCTAAATTTTCAAGCACTTGCGTTTCGCACAGAACTTTCAAGTTCTCTACAGAAAGGGCATTCTGAACAAAGTATGTTTGGCCAGAAGCCCTGTAAAAAAAACCCCAAACACCACCCTAAAACACTGAAACAAAATTTTCAAACAAACAGTTCTTTGAAGAAAATTGTTTGTAATTTCAGCCACAAGGAAGGTTTCTCACGAGGAAGGTTTCCCATGTGTTTATAGATTATGAAGAAAAAACAACTGTAACCACGCTAATATAAGCTTACCTTGGATACTTCTTCTTTTCCACTGTTTTCCTTAATGAATACTTTTTCCAGTTCGGGGCTTATTCCTTCTACATTACACGGCACACGTGAAACAGTTGATTTTGGCACCGAAATGTTTGACAGTGGCATAGGGACTGATCTGGAAATAGAAGCCTAGAAGGTAGAGAGCAACATGATTTGAAGGTGGAAAATGGAACGAAGACAGAAGTCTGAGACCAGTACTAAAAAAACCTAAAAAGTAAGAAGTGATGTATTAATTTTGCCATCTAGAAGACCACCTTTACTAGGCAAATTTAAATAAAAAGAAATGCTTGCATAAATCAAAAGCCACTAAAAAAACCTCTACTTAACTCAAGTAAGTCTTCTATAACAAAAGCATTCTACTACTTCACTTATCAGTAAGTAGGCAGGTATATGTACTTTCCAGATGTATAGACTACAGAATACGCAGTCGGGGAATGGGGAGTACACGGGGTGCTGATGCTGATGGTTTAACTGGGATCCAAAAGGCATTTCGTAACATTCCTAAGGCTTAACCACTCAACTGAAATATTAATTTAATGCACTTTTATTCTCTTTTGGTTGGTTTTAGTGAATGAGAAATAAAGCATTCATTCTGAACCTTTAATTTGATTAGCTTATAGCTTTTCAGAACTTTATGTCAAAGGTCTTAAAAGAAAACATTTTGAGTTTAAGAATCAAGCATGTAAATAAATACAAGTACGGTTTTCAGAAAAACCTGTTGGATTGGAACTCTGTTACCAACAGGAACCATTCACAAGAGTGCACATGCATCTTGTGCAGTCAACCTCAAAAGCTTTACCTTGGCAGCAGCTACATAGCATAGAAGCACCTACGCTGACAGCCATGAACAGTGTTCACTTCCCAATATATGTTCTCCTCTTGTTCACAGGATGCTTAAGACAAAATGTAAAAATCTTGAGTTCTTGCCAAAATGAACCCTGCACAATGTGCAGCACCAAAGGTGCATGTCACTTGTGCGGAGGCATTCTCTGACTCTGACAAAACACACTGCCTGTGGGACGGCTTCCCACAATGGTGCCAGAACTGAAAACTTCACCAGCCTCGTCAGAGAACACCTTCTTGAGAAACCAAAACGTTGCATGAGCCATGACAAAGTGAGCTCCAAGTACTAAAGAATGTTCCTTCAAAGCGTATGTCCTAAGTGGATTTCAATCTGTGTCAAAGACTGTTTTTACTGTGACTACAAATAGTGGCACAGGTACCTGCAACAGCTTACTTTGAGATGGAAAGCAAAACCTTTTTCTATACAAAATGTAGTGGGCTCCTTTGTTATAGAGGCATAAAAGTTTCAGGAAGAATATCAATTTCCTATATGTCTGCATCACAAGATTAGGTTTTAACCATGAGATTTTATCCAAACAGAAGAAGGAACATGAAGGATCAGCCATGACAGCTCAACCTCTTCTTTCTACAACACTAGCTATTTAAAAAGGCAGTCAGGAAATACAATGACAGAACCAACATTTCAGGAGTTCAAATAGTGGCCTGTTAGTAACATGGGGTCCAAGCTAAGGATCCACTATGGGTGAAATTTAATCAGGACTCAAGTGTCTGCACTGTCAAATGAGACATGATTAACTGCTTCCTACAAGTGGCTTAAGGTTCACAAAGTCATTGACTGAACCTTGTCTGAGCTTTAGAACTCGTAACTGGGTTTCAGTTTCGCTGGCAGTTTGTAATGGCTAGAGCAGGCACTGCACGGGGCATCCTCCATTGCACCCTGCTGAGAATCTGGTTCATGGTCAGGTAATTTGGCCAGGCAGTTTGTCCAAAGCTATTCTTCGTATGTGTCAGCATCTTTATAATAGGAGAAATACAGATATACTCAGAGCACAGGCAATTTTTTATAACTTCGTGAAACATGAAAATGACCTGAAAACAAAAATTGTCTTAGCCAGGCTAGTGCTAAAATGATCAGCTATATTAAAATTTGCCTAAACTCACACATCACTTTGAAAAATAGGTAAGTAATAAGACAACAGAAAACAGAAGCTGTCAGATTAGGAGCCTGAGCTTAACCTCTCAGAGAAGAGGCTATCAAATCCATAGACTGATGGCTGGAGAGAAGTCCTGTCATCACAGTGCCCATTGGTATAGAACATGAGAATGGTCATCAACATAATCTGGACATAATATTTTGCATCCTAAAGATTATGCCTGATTGAGGTTTTACAGTAAGTCACAGTGTCTGGAACAAGAACAGGCTGGTGATTATGGCAATTTTTCCATTTAATATGATGGAAACTCTTAAAATGTACCATAACAACCGCACTGTAACACAGCCACCACAACCACAAACTCTCATGCTAGAAGACAGGATCCTGTATTGACAATGATTCTGGACTACCGTAACAACCAAGAGGTATGTCCTAGACAAAACCATGAAGAATAAGACTTTTATCCTGTAGTGTGACAGATCCGCTAGTCACCAGGGATGGGCAACTGTGGCAAGCATCATCTTGATTTCAGTTGAGTTTAAAATCAAGGTGAGTTATCACTTTCTTTTTAGAAAGTAAACACCACAATATTGTCTTCCTTGATGAAAATTGCCTCTCTGGCCAGGAATTGACCAATAAGCAAAGTATCAGAAAGATTCTTAAAATTGGACAAGGAAATGAGATATTCCCTCAAATCTCTGGTGATACAGCATTGCTGTCTTTTACTGATGAATACATGGTAAGATGAATTACAAGTCTGTTCGTAACAAGCCAGTTAGTGTTCTGCTTGCTGCTCAAAGACTGATCAATTGTTGGGCCACCAATCGAGACTGCTTACGCTTGGTACTTTCTTTTTCTTTATTTTCTATTTTTTTTAACCAGCTCAGATGAAATTGGGTTGCGAAACTGATAAGCAAATACCTTCCAGAAGAGCAGAGACTTTTGAAAGTGTACCACAAAAATTAGTTTTGGAAGCAAGTATGTATTCCTGGAAACGCAGTCTTATCTGGCCATGCTCAGAATTTTTACAGCATCTTAATATATTTTAGTTGCTATCCTGCTGCAACCCTTCTTTCTTTTATTACATGACAACTATCAGATAAATTTCAGTGAAGATGCAATGGTATCAGGTTGTTAAGCATTTCAGTGTACCACATAAAAAAACAAACAGAAGAAAGACAGGAAGAAACAGCAGGCTATTCACCCAACCCTGATAACGTAGGAGGCTATTAATATAAGCAACTATCTATCAGACTTACCTGAGTCTGACTGATTGCTATATGGTTGCCATGGAGAGGTGACTGACGTTCTTTCTCTTTACTGTGACGACTACTCTGCTTACTGCGCTGAAGCTGCTGCCTCAGTTTGGCAATCTGCTGGAAAGAAGTTCAGGTGAAGTGATAATGAGTTATCGAATAGATAACTGCCCAAATCTTCACGTATAAAGTGAATCAGACATTTTAAGTCCTCTTTAGAGGATTTTACAAGCGTATGGGATTGCCTTCCCTTGAAGCATGAGCATTAAAGCTTCTTTCTGCTTGTTAGATACTTTCTCCGAAGTATCTGTCCCATCCGCCAACCTGAGTGACAGCAGGCTTAGTTTGATAACTAAACTTCCTCATTTACAAACAAGCACTGTAATAACTGATGCAAACAAAAGTAGTCAGAATGACAATTTGTAGCAATTTCTGGCCTATAACTGGTTTAAACTGGGGACTATGAAGCCTACAGTTTAATTTATTTGATCTTAAACCAAACCAAAGTTTTCCAATGATAATTCATCATAAAAGCAAAGAGCCTTCACAAACAACTGGCAATCAATATGCATTGCTCATCTTGGAGAACTTATTTAATAGCATTTCCCTGCAGGCTAAATTATCACAGATTCCTTCAGGCAGACGGAATTATCTTTTCTGCTGTCTGCTGCAAAGATGTCTAATCAAAAGTTACGTTATTTTAAAGGTCAAATGCAACTAAAGTCATTATCCATTTGACCTGCTCCTTACAAGAAACGAAAGAATTTCATTTGGGGATTCCTCCACTTATTTATTCCTCCTGGATAATTTCTACATGAAACTATAAGTATTGTCTCAGAAGTTTAGACTATTCACACAACAGGTACAGACACTTCCTTAAGACTGGATAACTTTTTCCTTTGGCCTCAAGTCCTACTCTTCCTCATGCTCAGTACACTGGCATAATAAGACAAAGCACGCACAGCCCCACTTCATTTTTAACTCAGCTAGATACAATTTTTGAAAACCTGAAGGGCAAGTAAGGAGAAGTGAATGCACATGGAATTCATATTTCAAAGAACTTAATCAGCTGGAAAGCAACCTCTCTTTCTGAGTGACAGCTTACAAGTACACACACTCTGCGGTTAACTCCAAGTAGTTAAATATATTACTAGTGCTCTTGCAAAGCAACTCTGTGGTAGAGAATCACTTCGCATCACTCTTCACAGTGTCAGAGATGACAGTGCTTGGTGATGAGGTTTGGATGGAGCTTTGCTCCAGGCTGTGGACTTTTCTTTGTGATGTTTCTGGTATCACTCACAAAAGAAGGATCCTCCTTTAAGGCTTCATATCAAGTCTTGCCACAGCTCGTTACCCATATTCAGAGAACTGCTACTCAGAAATGGCTGAATACTTTGATCTTTCAACAACAGACAAACAGTTCAGACTTCCAAAAGAGTCTGTGTGTAGAATACACCAAGAAAGACAGAGCCCTAATATGACTGAGTTTCTAACACAGATGAGCTAGATTTAGAGAACTGGGAGACCGATCTCTTGATGAAAGGTGCAACTCAGGCACCATGTTGGCAGAAACTTTGAAGGAGTCTGAAGAGATTTCTTCATCTCTAAAAAAAAAAAAAAAAAAATTGTCCAGAACTTCCCCATTCTCCCTGTAGAAGTAATGGCAATTAGGAAACCCAGCTCCATAGAGAGATGAAAAAGCAAGCAGGTAACCAGTCTGGTAAGTATACATACATCTACAAAGATTTATGTCTTACATCAGAATGTTGGAGAATGGGGAGAACAGGGAAATAACCTTCATCTTGCCCTTTAAAAACTTAAAAACAGAAGAGAAAAACAACACCCAGATCAGAAGACAGCTGTGGACTGAGACGGCTGGCTACAAGAATAATCAGAAAGCAGGGAGAGTGCTGTATATAAATCTTTCATTTCTGCTGCCTCTCCTTGATGCTGTGCGCTTCTTCCTAGTTAAAAAGTTAAATACACTGTTTTTTTTATTTAAATGAAATCTGGCTTTCTGAGCTTTCCTCATAGGTATGCTATTAAAAAAAGATCTATACAATTCCACCTCAGAGATCTGGCTGACCGATTTCTGTCGCAAACAGCTTGCAAATCTTTGAGAACATAGCCTCTCACTGTAAAATCTGGACAGTGAAAGCATTAAACAGGAGAGCGTTGATAGGCTGGTATGTCTCTAGGCTGACCAAAACCTTGAAGCTCTGATATCCTGAAAGGAATCATGGACCCCTGGAATCTGAGGTTCTCTCAGCCACCTCAAGAGTATGTATATTTTGGCAGTCAGTAGGTTCTTGACAGTAACAGAAAGAAAAGGCTTCTTGGGTCACTGGGGAGAAAGAGAAAGATGAAAACTTGAAGAATCTGACTGTGTATCTGGAGCTGATATGACCACTTAAGCCAAACATGCAACGCAGTGAAGAAATAGATATGCCTTCTCAGATCATCTGTCCTTAACCCTGAATTTGAAGAACCCTAGCTTTCCATGATGTGGTAGTTACCATCAGACAAAAAAAAAAAAAAAGAGAAAGTAAGGATGGACATGTAAAAAGGAATCTGCCATTTCTTATTCATCCTCCAGACCCGGGAGACAGAGGCTCACCAGCACAGACAATCCAGCTTCAGAGCAGCCACACTAAGCAGGCAGTGGCACCAAACTACATGGACAGAAGAATCCTCCAAACTAAACGATGCTCCATCTCTTCACCACGGGGAGTCCACAGTGAATTTATCACTTGCTAAAGCTAATCCTGAAATCCCAATAGTTTTTTTCTCCTAGAAGATTATCTTTTTATTGCCAATTATTTTCCATCTCAAACTCAAATAAAGCCACTACTACTAACAGGAAGAGGTAGCTGTGCTAGCTTCCTAGTTTATCTTCACCTTCTTCCTAAGCAGCAGAGAAGCACAATCAGAGCATCAAACATAACCAAAATGAGCTGCAGATAGGTATGAGATACACTAATCCTAGGAAAGCAGATATAATTTGTGTAGTGAGGAAGGAGTCTGAAACACATGCCTTGATGGCACCTGTTTTACCAAGTATCTCAAAGAAGCAGCAGATCCTGTCTCTTGGGCACTCGACTGGTGCAATTAATATGAGCTAGGGAATTTGCTGGTGCCAAGTGATTGGTATCAGGAAAACATGTACTTGAAGATCCAGCCAATACACTGGTGTAAATGCACTCTGACATTGAACTCCATTCAGGTTAGCAATATAGATATTTCAGTTAGGAAGATGAGGCAGAAAAGGAATAATGTGCTATGCTGGGGGAAAAAAGTGCAGTAACAAAACACTCCATTTTAACAGGGCACCTAGAAAGAACAGAAAGGGTTTGGGACACCATTTCCCTCACATGCCCAAGTACTGAGCCTGAAGGTGACTGGGGCATACACAATCATATTAAGGAACACATGTAAATCATCACAAAAAGATCTAATGTGTATCCTTTAAAGCATCCAGTTGCTGAAGACATTAAAGCCTTAACCTTGCACATGTGTGCACTTCGATCCATAAAATGTGACAGTGATTTCAGTATACCAATTCAAATGCTCTCCCTGTCTACGTAGCTTGAAGATGGGCAAAAAGTTCTCATGATACAATACAGGCATTTTCTTAGAGGATTCAGCCAGGGGAAAAAAAAAAAAGAAAAAAAAAGAAAAAAATCAAGGAATTCCTCAAGGAATAAACGCAATTTGAACCCTACTTCCAATGTTCAGATACAATTATTTAAAATTATTTTGCTACAATACAAGTTGTAAACATATATGATAGTAAATTTCAAATTATATTTTTAGTTCACATTTGGCAAGTACTCTCATGTAACTGGGGGGAGGGGGAGGGGGGGCCAAAGCAATACGCCGGCACATTTCAAAAAAATTAAGAAAGTTTTCAGCCCTTCCTCTTCCCGTGACTGTTCCCTGCAATATTGTTGATGTATCAGAAAGACTCTTTTCTTGACGTACTTTACAGTTACTTATAAAAAAAAAAAAAACACCAACAAAACCCCCAAGAAAACGCAAAGATCAGTGCATCATAACAGTAATAAACCTACACCAGGTCATTCAGGACCCAAACTTGCAGTTCGGCCTTGATGGTTTACTGTAATGCAGCCAACTATAAGATGATGATCAAGATTATTAAACAAACAAGAAGTTAGGAAAAAACCCTGTATTTTTTGCTTGCTGAATTTTTTTACAGCTAGAAGTGTACTTGAAATAAATATGAATCTTATCTATACCACTTGTAATATGCATGCCTAATGGCACAAACCTGAGAAATAAGCAAATTAGGTTGGTTCTTTGCAACACTGGAATAATCTGAGTATCCTGGTAATTCTTCATTTGAAGAGACCTAGATGCAGACTACTAATATGAAGGAACATGTCATGTCTCACCATTCCTGTCCAAATGCTCATTAATATTTACCAGTTAATAGGCTGTATTTCTACAAATCAGACTACACAACATAGTAACTTCCTATTGCTGAACAAGCCACAAACTCCTTATTAATGAGAGTGAGCTCTAATTCATTTCATGAACCATTTGTTAGTAAACAAGTTAACCAGTAGGTCAAAGAGTAAAACAATTAGAATTAGAAATTCTCCCTAAACCTTTGAATAGCATCTTTCGATCGGTATATGAAAGCACATAAAAAGTGCAAGCTCTCATATTCGATTCTCTTTTATTCCAAAGTCCTTTTCAAGTACTCTGTTAGAGCAAAAGGGACCTTCCAACGGGGGGTTGCTGGTGTCAGTGTAACAGATACAGCATACAGAGGTGCTTAAGGGAAGCAAAAAATCAGCTGTCTGAAATACGTCTTTAAAAAAAATACACAAACGGAAAACTATTTGTTTTAAATTCCAGGTTTTTCCAGTTCTGGGTAAATTCCAGTTCAGGGTAAGCTATAACTAAAATTGTCCCTATTCAACTTCAACAGAATTTCAAACTAACTATTCAGGGTGAAAGGGGAAAAAATACCAGTGGTTCAAACCACTACTTGGTTTGTGTCCAGTACAAAGACTCTGATAGCAACCTTCATCTCCCAGTCAAGACATGTATCTATTAAAATAATGTTAAAGCAGTCTGGCATTATCTTACAACAAGTTATATTCAAGACTTCGTAAAAACAAGCAGTAGATCCCTTCAGAATAAAAAAAAAAGTCAATCTTGTTAGGAGGTGATAAAAAAGATACACTCTATCATTACAAAGTTCATATTGAGAGCTGGGGAGCTGTAAATTTTTTAATAGACCACTAGAAGAAAGCAAGTGCCTATTTCACTGCTAGACAGATTCAATCCTGACACCCACCTATTTCAATTCAAGGGCAAAATAATTTTCAACTACCCAAAGCGAAAATTTTTTTATGTGGTAATACAGAATTCATTTGCTTGCTTGGGATCTTAAGTCTAGACGCTCTTTTTGAGGTTTTTTAAATGTAAATCCTTTAAAAAGAGCTCCCAGTTGTGTTAAATAAATGCATTTAATTGTAATAGCTCTCAAACTAACCAAGGAAAAAACATTTTTTTTTTAAACTTAAAAGCACATTCAATCTTCTGTTATCAAAACCAATTAAAACTATGCATACAAGCATTTGGCTAGTTTACAGTATCAACATAATAAAAAATACATGCTAGAAATCATTCCATTAATTGTTGGAACAAGAAAACATGAATCCAAACTGCTAAGACAAGCCAAGGAAACTGTAAACAGCTATCTACTTGTTCACTGTCAAACGCTATGGGAAACAATTCAAAATGCTGAGCAGAACTGCTGCTACCTATTGCTGTGGTTTAACCCAGCAGGCAGCTAAACACCACACAGTGGTTCGCTCACTCCCCCGTCCCCAGCAGGATGGGGGAGAGAAGGGGGGGGGGAAGTAAAATTCATGGGTTGAGATAAAGACAGTTTAATAGGACAGAAAAGGAAGGGAAAATACTACTACTAATAATAATGATGATAAATGAATATACAAAGCAAGTGATGCACAACACAATTGCTCACCACCTGCCGACCGATGCCCAGACAGTTCCCAAGCAGCAGTTGCCACCCCCCGGCCAACTCCCCCCAGTTTATGTACTGAGCATGACGTCACATGGTATGGAATATCCCTTTGGCCAGTTTGGGTCAGCTGTCCTGGCTGTGCCCCCTCCCAGCTTCTCGCTGGCAGGGCATGGGAAGCTGAAAAGTCCTTGACTAGTGTAAGCACTACTTAGCAACAACTAAAACATCAGTGTGTTATCAACATTATTCTCATCCTAAATCCAAAACACAGCGCTGTACCAGCTACTAGGAAGAAAACTAACTCTATCCCAGCTGAAACCAGGACACTTATACACCCATAACAAGTGCAGTTGCCCAGGAGAGGTGATACTTGTATTTCCATTACTTAAGCTCTTGCTTTCAGCTGCCTATAGCTTTGTCAGATTTTCTCTGAAGTCTACCATGCAACATTCAGCTCTCCTATCCCCTTCCCATCAGAGATTTCAGTACAGGTATACATGTTTTAAGAATGAGATTAAAATGAAAGGGGGTAGAAATCATTTTACCATTTTATGTGCTAAAACACATCATCATAGCTTTTTACCTGGGAAGCTCTGTTGTCCAATACTTCGAAAGAAAAGGCCAAACATTTGTCTGGGGGTCCTTTACGCTGGGAATGTGCTCCTCTATTCCCTTGGAAAAAACTTTACATTTGGCAAAGCCTTACCAAAAATTTCAGTTTGCACATGGTCAAGAAAGATGTTTGGAACTGGCAGCTACATTTGCTAGTAATTCTGTCTCTACTGGGCTTTACAGTTTGAACAGAACAGCCCCAGAGAATTTCTCCTTCCATAAACTGCCTATTACTGTGGCACAAATGCTGAGCGCACAGATACTGTTGGTATTGAACAAACTCTTAACACCCACCACACAGGCATTAAGTAGCCAGACAGAGAAGCTGGAACCAGGACTTACAGGTGAGGGACAGGAAAAAGAAAGGGATAAACAGAAGCCAAATGATGGAGAGACAGAACAAGACAAGGAACTGGAAGGTAACCGAGCAAGAGCTCAAGTAAAGGAAGACAGGCGAGAATTGGCTGGATAAAGCACACAGAATGACACTGGGACTATGAACCCAGGGAACTAGAAAAGGCAAGAAAACTGGTTTGAGAAGCTGGAGAAAGGAAAACAGAGGAAGCGAAAGAACTACAAGCTGAAGACGACAAGGGCAGGTTTTGGGGTGAACAACCATTGCAAAATTTGGATAGAAACAATTCATTTCCACACACCCCATTTTTTCCATTACTGTGTTCTATCAGAAAGGAACCATGAAACCCATCGGCCACATGTTTCTTATCTTTCTCTTGTGGTCAGTCCATAAAGAGGATGGCAACCTAGCACAATGGATCACTGTTATCAAATGGCAGAGACTTGCTTACATGCTGAAGGTTTCACTATCACTGACAGTCACAGCCCTCTGGTGAAGAAAAGCTGCTTGTTGCAGAACTTGATAAGGAACCGCCAGAAGATGAAGGATGGTCTCTCAGTAAAAGCAAGCAAGCGTTACCCTGGAAATACAGATGCTGTTCCTGCCCCTGCTACAATTCCTTTGTGCTGGTAGGTAATGTTTAAGCCAAAACTTTTCAGACACAAAACTCCTTCTGCACTAATTTCTGGGCACTTAATCTGTGATTCTGAGTGATTCCTCATAGCTGCAAACGAAGTCACCCAGGCAACTGAAGGCCCATGTACTAATAAATCAGCTATGATGGGTTTCATAACAGGTACTCAATGAGATGGGAATTCAAACCCTCTTTGGATTGACCTCTCTTTGGCCCAGGTCATCGTCTTTAAAAATGAGGCTATTGCCACCACTGGAATGCAAGATTATTCCGTATTTGTCAAATCTGATTTTAAAATTCAAGTAATCAAACTTACACCACTCCTTTTGACAACTATTATTCCTATCAATGGCTGTCCGGAAGAGGACTATAAATTGCCAGTAACATCATCTCCTCAGACAACCTATACATTTCTTCTCATTTTTGAAAGTCTTATTAAACAGGGAGCCAGGAGAGAAGATGCAAAAAGCCCAGAGTATCAGGGAAAAGTCCCACCCCATGAGACCATGCTGCAAGATACATTTCTTAAAAAGAAAGGTGTAGCTCTTAAAGAGGCATGAGCCTGACTGCAGGCCAGTTATTAGGTACTGGACAGAGCTAGAGTTACATGAACTCTGGACAGAATGGAGTTTACTGGGACAAAAACTGAAATAGTCATTTCAGCTGAGCTGGAGATCATTTTACTGTACCTACTTTCTCATGATGCAAATCCACTTCACTTTTGGTGGGTTCTTTCTAGTTGCAATTGTAGTCTACAGCAAAATACATATGATTAAAGAGCATTTCAAGTAATCATACCATTACTGTATCAACACTTACCCTCTTTTTTCACTTGTGAAAGTGATGTCCTATCTCCACCCTTAAACTTGAACGAAAGTTCTAAACGAGAATATGCTAACATACTGACTTACACTTTTCCTCTTTCAGGAGAGCAGCATTAAAGAACAGAAAGCTAGCTAAGGTAACTCTGAACAGAAAAATTAGTAAGTAACAACAAGGTGGTTCCTCAGCACTCAACTCTGGCCACTCCTTCACAGCCAACACTGTGTAGTAGGAAGGGAGGAAATCCAACAGGCATAAAATAACAACCACTCTTGAAACAACTCTTACGTTGGAGGTAAAACCCGTTTCAAAAGCAACAGAGGGGAGGAAAAGGGTGCAGTTTCCTGGACTCCAGATAGGGATTAAAAATGTCTTGGGCATATCAAAACTTGAAAGGCTCCACTGTGCAAAACTTCTCACCTCTTTTAGTTGATCAGCACTTCCCCACGATGCTGAGCGCTGATGTGATCTCTTCTCTGCTCCTTCTTCAGCCCAACAGCTAGGTGTCTAGAGAGGGGGGAAAAAAAAGAAAATATACTCTACTGAATTCTCCAGGTAAAAAAAACTTTTGGCACAAATTATTGCTTTATTCTTTCCGCAGTGTCAGAGTTCAGGCATTATACATGAAAAATAAATTTCAGAATCTGATATGCAGCAGTAATAGTCTCAATACATAAAAAAAACCATGTAGAAAACTAAGGCTTTGTAAACTTGCATTTACAAAGGATAAGGGCAATGCACTTTACTGCAGAAGGAATCAGAGGCCTCACAATCACAAAAAAACCCTACCTGGCTACTCTCATCTGCGCTTTGTCATCCATTTCTAGTTTTCACTCAGCAGACAGTTTAGAAAACCACAAGATTAAAAAAAATATACAAACTCAGAGACTAAAAGCCAGGATTCACTTCTCCCACCTGTCTTCCTTAATCACTGGGCCACATAATCAATTCCTTCTTGCTAACTCTGACTCAATACAGAGTTTGATACACCTTGTATTATTTTTGGCACCAACCTACATGAGCAGAACAGTGAAGAGCAGGCCTTTTCCATCCTTGTCGGCAAGCCCAGAAGTTTGGGGACTGTCCTTGGATGTAGGAGCTATAAAGTTAAACCTCAAAGATTGAGAAGGGTCTGGAAGCCAGATCTCCCAACTCCTGTGCTTATTCACCACAAGACTATTATGAAAATTGAGGGTATCCACCAGCATTTCTGAACACGAGAGTCACCAGCTGCCAGAGGAGCAATGAGGACATCTAAAATCCAGGGAGAGTTTGGGGTATGAACCATATAAAACTCAGTGCTATAGGCACATATATAAATACGTGAAAAGGAAAACAAAAAAAAGGTGGTGTTGTTTTTTTCAACAATTCCTACTAATATTAGCTGAATCTTTCACAATAATGCCGCAAGAAATAAAACTATACCACTGAAAACGATGAGAATTCAGCAGTGAGGTTCTTCAGGAAAGGGACCACTGCTAATACTTCTCCAAGGGAGACAGGACCCCAACCCAGAAGGACAGGTAGGATCTGGGATCCACCTTCCTGCGGGACTTCCTTCTCATGCACGGAAACCCTGTTCCTCCACAGCTTTCCTTACTCTTGCTTCCTCTCTAGGGTCTAGAAACGTCTGTAGTACCCACACACATAGCGGGCACTGTTCTGCTCAGGAAGGAGGCTGGGCATCGCCTTGGAGAACACCACAAAAACAATGTCTGCCGCTTCTCACCTTCGCTGCCCTGGGAAGGGAAGTGGAAGCGGCACTCCCGGGGCCAGGCCACTCAAGCCAAGCATGCCAGGCCAGGCCTGGTACCATTAAGCACTGAAATGTAGTTTCAGAGCACAGGCTATACCTTTATAACCACTGCACTGCCACAGTATTATATGGCCTACAGCCCAGCACCTAACTCATAAGCGCTAATACTTAATGTGCTAAGTCACTTTGTGTGCACAGGCCTACGTATCCCACTTGTGTTTTCTGCCAGCCCTGCACTTTCCATGTTTTTGGTGGGGTTTTTGGCCATTATTTTTACACCACCAGGAATACTTCCACCAAAGGCCCAGCAAGCTGTGTGGGCGATTAGAAAGCAAAATGGAAAAAATCAGTAATGAAGTTTTTGCTGCATGTTCTCAGGAAAGAAAAAACAAGCCTTTATGAAAGTTAGCGTTCTGTGTATTTATTATATGACTCCCTTTGTGTGGATCTGGGGAAGAAGCCAGAAGATAATGTGGTTATGAAAAAAAATAAAGTTAACAAGAGTGAAGAGTTAAAACAGCTATTTAAAACTATGAGGGAAACATGGGAGTCCCTTAGCCAGGCAACCCATGACTCGTCACCCAAAGCAGAGCCTCTGCCACATGCGCGCTACCTGTGTGTGCATTCGCTCACTGCATTTTAGCAGAGCCATGTTCTAAATAATTACTTGTTCTTGCAGATTGGGTACTTACCACCTCCCTGAAATTTGTGTGAAAGACATTGTATTGCTTTTAATTTTTTTTTAAACGCTGAAGCGGCTTGCAGATTTCTAAAGAACTAGAGAAAACAGGGGGAAAATTTGCTCCTCTTTCAAAATCATGGGCTTTCACAATCTATTATAATTTACTTTCCAACTTAAATTACTCTTTTCTTAAAGTATTTTACTATATCCCAAGTACAGCTGGAACCATACCCTCATAAAAAAAAAAAAACACAACAGAAAAACATCAATGCAAAGGGAATTCTTTGAAAATTTATCTTCCAAAGAGTGTATTCTGAATACAAGACTGCTCCATAGTTTGGGGAACAACTCCAGGACGAAGTAGAAACAGGCATTTCAGGTGCTTAAATATCTTCCTGTAGTGCAGGAGGATGTACCAGGGATCACTACAAGCTCGTAGCCTTTCAACTACAGCTTAATAAACAGAACAGAAAAGACATGGAGTATCTAAAAAGCCAAAGTGAGTTTCAACAAAGAGAAGTAAACTGTTAAAAAACAAAACAAAACCATTATGTAGAAAGCAAGAGCTTGCCTGTATTTTTTAATAAGCACAGATATTGATCCAGGTAGCAAGAATAAAAACAAACTAATAGCAACACCCTGAAGAACTTCATCAACAACACTGGTGACTGTTAGTAGAGAGAGGTGAGAATCCTTATATTGCAGTTGATTTAATCCGAAATCAAAAACAACAACTATAAAACATCCATTCACTTAATACTAAATTTTGTACTTTCTCAAATATGCTTTGACACTCTCTTCCACTATCTCCCTTGAGACAGGATTACACAGTTGCTTTCCATCTCTGGTAAATTGAGTCAAGTCACAACCTTTCAAAATACATACAAGTATCAGTATACAGGGGGCAGACTATTTGTGTCCCTCAATTTTATTTGCAGTATTAGATTACAAATACTATATGATGTTCCTAGCACTGTACTGAAGTCAGGCAATGTTATATTAATATGCTATTTATATTCAGATGGAAAAAAGAAAGAAGGTTAAAAAATAACACAACATAAGCAGTTACTAGAGTATTACAGCAAGCCAGTCTTCTTCAAACCCTAGAAACTGCTGCTTATAAAATATTGTAAGCCGCATTATATGAAGATAAGTTTTGGGCTTGTAACCCAAAGTCCTTATATTCAAGCAACAGCTTTAAAAAAACCAACCAAACAAAAAAAAAACCAAACCCACACCAAAAACCCCACCCTCCAAACAGAAATTCTGCTTTTGTAAGTTTAGCTCATGTATGAGCACCTCACACCTCACCTGAATGTTGTAATTTACATCACAAATAAGATGGGGGTGTACAGCACCCTTGATATGCCACATTTCATGAAAATTGTTTTCCCATCTTTATTTACAACTTCTGCAAAACAGGCTTATTCATGGAAGCCTTCATTTGAAGCTGCAAGTATACTTCCCATGTGTTAAACACATTAAAACAATAATGAAAGTAAAAAACTCACTCAAAACTGTATTTGAAGAAAAATTTCTGAATCACAATAAACAAAACCAAAGTTGCTGCACCTCAAGTCAGAAACATAGTAGGAGAGGTCATAGGCACTATCTGTGAAACCAGTAATATTTCAGAGCTGAAACAAATTTACAGCATCACTTAAGTATGAACTGAACTTCATGAAACTGAAGGATTATTCCTGCAAGTCTATATTCAGAAACTAAAATTTAAAACATTTTAGGAGGAGAACCTTGAAAACATTAAGTAACGCATGCTGCACCTTCAAGAGGAGGATTGCTGATATTTTAAAATGTGAAGGTTTGTGGTCCCAGTTTCAGTTGACACAATGCTTAAAGCGTGGGCATGGGATAGGACATGGTGAGAACACCACATCTGGTTGCTGTCTTCAGTCTTAATGTAAATCACAGTTACCATTGTTCTAACTCACCCAACCTTGTAGAGATTAGCATTTCTTCCAATGCGTTTGGTAATTCTGCCTTGCTTTGCCACCCATGTCAGGGATATACACCTACAGTCTTTCCACTTCATTTAGATCAGAATGACTGGATGGAGTACCAACCTACCTAAACCTAAAATAAGACTGAATTACTCTAAATATCTCACATTTTATTGCCAGCCCTTCGCTCTAATTACTATATCTAGCCTGCATTCCAGATTAACTACATTGGGGGATGGGAGCAAAGATTAAAAACACGAGTCTAGGTTTTACAGGGGAAGCAATAATGTTTTTTAAGAACTTCCATATTCAAAAGAAATGCAACAACAGCACTAGAAGATAAAGTGTGATGAGTCTTCAGATGTTTCTAAAGCATTCAAAGGCCCTCTAGAAATTTTACAGAAAGAAACGGCCTAAAGAGTTAGAAGTTAATTTGACTATAGGTGACGACTCCTCTTAAACATCAGACAGGTTAAGAAAAGTTAGAATGATAAATTCATAGTTATATGACACATTATCTCTTCCTCCTTGTCCCTTCCCCCCAAAGTATGTCATTAAAATATCCCATGAAAGCAATGATAACTAATACACCAATAAAAAAGCTTCATGTAATTGAGCCTCCCGGTTTATGATGTTAATTTTTAAGCAACAAAATTTCTATCCAAAAGAAAACAAAACATTACTCAGGTGACTAATGAGAGGTAACTACATTAAAGCCTTGACCCACACACAAAGAAGAACAAAAACGTATTTTAGCCAAGCATTCCAGTTTAATAACTCTGCATTATATTCTTTAGATTAGAGAGAAGTAAAAATTCTGAAAGGCATTTTGCAAGCTTTCTTCATCTCCGTTTGTGTAATACGTAATTGCCATATACAATGAAAAAGGCATATCCAGGCATCTTGGAAGCCAGTTTAAGAAGTCAGTTGCGGGGGGGGTGCAGGAAATCACTGAATCATATTCCACTTGGTCATTTGTTCTTTTCTTTGTATTATTTAGATTGAGGAAGACTACATAGATGAACTTTAACTGGCAATATCTTTATTATGACATCAACATCACATGTTTATCCCTAATCTCTCCTTTTTAATTTTATAAAAATCTTTTAAATGATTTAGCTACTGCCAAATAATTATATTAATAAACTATGACGATTATCCAAATGTTTCTGAAGATTCTGAGGTTAGGCATAGCCATTTCAACATTGAATTATTCTTTACACTAGAAAGGGGGAAATACACGTATAGCATGAAGGAGAAGTATATAAAATTGCTCCATCAGTGCTCCCAACAGAGATGGAAAAAAATGGGGAAGGAAGCTACACTGAATTTTAAATGGCCTTAATGAAAAGTTCAAATTTCACTGAAAAGGAGAGGGACGTAGGACAGAGGAGGAACTTGGGAAGGGGATCACAAAGTATATCAACACGTATAATAACTTCCTATAATAGTAGGAATTCCCTGCACTTCTGGAATACTTAAAACTACTAACTAAAATGGCGTACCTCTGATTATCCAAAACTTGCTGCTCCTTAAAGATCAGCTAGTTGTATGCACATGCACACACATGAGCATAAATGCATGGAGAATTCTTAGGAATCTGGAATTGTGTAAATGTCACAATGCATAGTGTCATAGTAGATTTTTCCAAAAGCAAACATAACAACCTCACTTCTCAGTGTTTTCAGTCAAAACACTTGAGGTGGGTAAGAGACACTGAAATATGAACTACAATTACTATTCTCCAACAGAAACTAAAACAAGCAAAATTCTGTTTCCTCTGTTTAAATAACAAGATATTATTGAATTCTTTTTTAAAAATCCTGGTTTAATTTTAGAGAAAGAAGAAACATTTTATTCACAAGCACTACACAGGTTCAAAGAACTTAACTGGGAAACAAGGACTTGGAATAAAACTCATTAAAGGTTCATCTGATCACGGTGAAGACCAGAATCTGACTTTTTTTTTAAATACAAGAATTCTAAGAAACTTGGAGCAGCCATAATCACCACCTTCACGACTGTACAAAATTTGGATTTTAAATTAATGTTTAATTAGGGACAAAAAGTACCCTTGAAAAAGAAATAATTATTCCACCTACAATGTAAGTTATACTGACAGTATTGTTCATGAGTTTAGAAGTAAAACAAGAGATAATTTTTCTCCAATGAAACATGCTCATACAAAGAAACTCGTTTATTGATTTTCATTATCTTTTTTTTTAATTTATTTTGTTACCATCTTCCACTCTGCTAAACTACCAAGTGTTATTATTTTTAGCTACTGTAAACTATATGAACTCCCATGAGCTAAACTGTTACTTAGCCAACAAACATGAAGTAGTGGAAGTACTTGTGCTGGTACTCAGGCAAAGAGCAAGGTTTTAATTTAATTTAACTTAATTTGCCATGCATGCATCCTATCAATGACTTGGAACTCATCCTTAGTTCTTGAAATTAGATATACTTCAAACTACACAGAGCTCAAACAACAAAAAACCCCACACAACCAGAACGTAACTCAAGTCAATATTTTATGATCAAGTTCATCTACAAGCCTCCCTAGTGAACATTTTATTTCAAACACCTGGAATTTGCTGTGCCAATCACTATGCTTGTTACATTTTACATATTCATATAGTCCTGAGTAGTCAAGACACGTTTTTCAACTCAACTTAAACACTATGCAAAACCCAAGCATTTAGCAATTTGAATAAAAAGACAGCTAATATAATTCCTTGTTAGAAGACATCCACACAAATCCAAACCATGAAACTTCCCTGCCCTTATTCCTTTGAAGTAATAGTTCACCTTGTAATGACAACAGTACTGCCTTTCCCCTCTGTTACATTTGACTATGCTGAAAATGTAAAACTTCCTTTTTATTTTTTTTTCCTCCCTGAGCTTTGTTTCTGAATGAGGCAAAGGGTGGCAGCCAACAGGTCAAATAACCTAAACACTTACTTGAGCTCACTAGGAAAGCAATTTTACTGCCAAATGCCTGGAGCTCAAATATTTATAGAACAAGTTTGTTTCTCTTTTCTGTAACTAGTGAAAAGGTTTGTTTGTGAATGTTTAAATATTCTAAACTTTCTATTCATAAGGGTATTTGTGAAGTTTGATATGGATATATGTTTTATGAGAGAGGGGTTAAGAAATACAGTAACTACAAAGCATGCTACTGAAAATCTCCTGAATGGAAATTATGGTTTCAAAACAGAAAGACTTTCAAGGCACAGTATTGTGAAGGGAAGGCACCTTGGAAGTAAATCCAGGATTAAGAGCTTTTTAGGTAGATTTTTCATGACAGTAAAGATGACTGCTTGTTCTTCTTTTTTGCTTAAACTGGCTGGCTGGTTTCAAAATGAGTGAGTAGGACGTGAAGACAGCGTTTTCTTAAAGGGTCCCACCACAGTTTCTAGAAGTTTCCTTGAACAATTTTAATCATCAGATTCCCAAATTCATTAAATAGGATTTCTGGATCATACAGACAGATCTTTTTTCTTTTCTAAGCATCCTACCCTTACCCTTCCCCCATCAGAGGACTTCCTGCATCGCATTACAGTAGATTTTAAAGAGATGTGGAAAATTATTTATACATTCTAACTTGTCCTGAGAAATTCAGTATTACACAAAAGACTGAAACCTAGAATCAATACAAAGAGCTGCTGCATTTGCTCTGAGCAATGGTGGCAGAATGGGTGACAAGTATGTTGCAAGTCAGTGGAAACTAACCAAAACCTATACACCTACAAATGAAGTTATGACAGAAAACCCCTTGATATTTTAAAGGTATCATATGCATTGTGACAACATAAGCTTCCATTAAAAACAATTCTTAATGGCACAAGAGAGTTATAAGCAAAAGGTAGGATGGCAGAAGTATCTTTTTTTTTTTTTGCAGGACACCCATGATAACAATGGGCCAGAATCATGGCACAAGACATAGAAAACTGATTTAACAACCATCCCTACATGGCCTGTAGGTTGAAAATACAACCAAAGATAGACAGTTTTTTCTAGTTTCCAATTTAGTTTAGAACACAAACTCAAATTACTTACTCCATACCTTAATAACAACACTACTGAAAAAACAAGAATGCAACTGCTTTGCTAATAATTTGGTTTTTTTAGAATTACGTATTTTTTACCTGTTTGATAGTGAACAACTTTGTGGGCAACAAGCTCCAGCACAAGGAGGAATCAGACAAGAAATGATGTTCAGCTTTCTAGCCAAAGAGCACTGGAGCAGTATGAATGCCACAGCAGCCTACCTGCCAGAGGTTCCTGCTAAGGATAGAGCCCTGAGGAGGATCCAAGGTATCACAAGGGTATCAGGCCATAAATCATCTCAGTAGCCTTCCCTTCGTAGCTGGTGGTAAGGCTCTCATTCTAATGTCTGGCTTCAAGAGGCAACTCTTCCACAGAGCATTTTTGTCTGTCTTTCTTGCTACTAAGCAGCAGAGGGAACATCTCAAGACCACATTACATGCTCATTCCCAGCTTCCTCTTCTTGATTTCCTCTCTAGTGACAAACTGATCAATTCTTCTTAACTGTAACCTCTCTCCTTCCCCTCCCCCGCACGCACAAAATACACTTTTTGAGACCCACAGATTTATTACCACGATTCAGTAGAAGTTTTAGTTTGTCAGCCACTGCTATTATGGAATCTTTTTTTTTTTAAATAACACTCAGCACAATTTTGCATATAGCAGCTTCAAAATAAACCAGATACAAGGCTGAGATTGAAATCTGCTTATTTAGCCTCAACAGATCTGCCCACATACAGAAAATTATTTTTAACAACTGTTTTCTAAAAGCATAAAAATATTATCTGTTGCATACCATGTTACTGAGTTGACACTGATTAAAAAACACTACTGTACCCTATTTTTAGGGCTTTATATTTATAACAAAATTAAGTGAACCCACATTTCTTCAGAATTAAGTTGAGCTAAGATTCCAGATCAGGTGATAAAAGTATTATCAGGAAGACATCCATTATACAAAACATCTCTGTTGTCTTGCTTTACAGCTTTTTACCTGAGTAGATTTATCTTTCATACATGAAGGGTAGTGTACGTGGGGATCACGTGGCCACTGTCCTGTGAGGTAAGGTCCTGTTATTGTGTCCAAAGAAGAAGTTCGCCTTATGGTACCAGAAGTTCTGATTTGCTGGGATTTTGGCCTGTCCACTGTAGAAAACCAGAACAAAGTCAACAAAAAAGTCAGGCTAAATTTGATATTAAATGTTAAAAGCTAGCTATGACACACAATTGCAAGAACACATCAGAAACCTTTGTCTAAATGCCAAGCTGAAAAGAATGCCATCACATCAAAGCAAATAACATCAGACAAAGGAGAAAAAATACAAAAGGGAAAACTTAACAGTTACAAAAAACAACAACGCTTCAAGTGTTCATATCTGCAAAGAACCAGGCTACTCATGCAATATATTTTCATCAACAAAAAACATCAAGCAAATTTAAATACAGTGATGATGCAACTCAGGAAAGCCAGACATACAGAAATAGAAAATACAACATAGTATCAGTATTGGGTTACTTTTTTTTTCTAAGTCAGCTTGCTTAGCTTTCTAAATACTAAAACACAAATCATGACAAAATTTATGATTCTTAAGAAGATGCATATCCGACTTCCTGCTCTCATGTACGTCATACCATATTATTTACAAGATCCCAATACAGGCCTTAGCAAGCTGAAAGCGTGTGACTATTTCCCTCTGACTCAGGTCAAGGCAGCTACCATGTTTGTCTTCACTCATCACAGCGCCTGCGATCTTTGACTCCTCCCTGTACTTCTGTCCCCATACACCTAGATCACAGAACACTTTTCCCTGCATTTCATTTGGAAAGCAGAGAGTAGGGTGATTCATGAGATTGTTCTTTCCCGCATCAGAGTTTTACAGCATGCTCTCTGGATCATCTCACTTTGTCCTTTAGGCAAAATTACTTCATATACTCGTTTTCTAGACTTTACATGAGCCAACCTAAGCCCTACATTAGAGCTACTGTCTGTCTTGCTAACCCCTACTAAAAGAAGTTTGCAAGTGAGATTACTTTCAAGTTAGTCACGTGCTATGCACTGATCCGACCCTGCAAAACCCTACCCACTGCTCAGAACTTGAGAGGAGACCTGCTGGCACACTTCTGAGACCAAACACAGGCACTGACCTCCACATACATTTTCTCTTTGTATATCATCTAGAATTGCTGGATCTCAAAAGGCAGACACCATCATCAGTGTTTTATACAGCCTTCAGCACAATGATTAAGGTACAGCTTGCACTAATACAGCATGCTTGTAGTATAATATATGAACATGATAATGTTAAAACAGACCATTTTAGAGAATGGTCTGTGCTGAAACACTTCATTAACAACTAATTTTAGGTGAAGAGTTCTAAATAATGCTGTGAATTGGAAGCATGATAGTATATCATACTGCCTTTGTATAATTGTTTTGATTGCAATGTTATCTATAAACCAAATCCCTACAATTTCAAACACATCTATCCTCATAGGATTCCAATTGTGACAAATTTGCATTTTAAGAAAGATTTTTGAACTATTAAATGTAAGAAATCCTGAAATCCAAAATAAAGGTGACAAATTTTAAACATGAAAACAGTATTTACATTTGCGCTGAAACACAAAAGTACCTAAAGGGTGCATACCTACAAAGCATTCTTCCAACTGTCACTGCCATGCTATGGCACTACACTACTTTCACAGGTAGCCTGAGTTTTGAAAATTCCTCCAAAAGCTCTGTTCATTAGAAATACGTTACATGCAAAAAATCTATCAGGAATTTGTTAAATACATAAGGAGTTACGTATGTTCTAAAAAAAAAAACTTTTAAAACAAGGTAGAGACGATGCAGAGACAAAATGGCAAGACAATGTCTGAAGATGGAGAAATAAGGACCAAGCAAAGTTTACCTTTGCAAACTTTACATTTTAAAAGTCTTGCTGAAGGAAAAAAAAAAACACACACCACAAAAACGTAAGTCCAAAACACACAAATAAAATATATACAACCAGAGAACGATCCAAGGTCTGTGTCTTGTTCTACACCCAGAGGAAAGGCAACAGCAATCCCAGCATGAATAACTCACATGATTGCACTACAACGGCGACAGACACAAACACCACCAGAAGTTACAACATTTATAATTTCCCATGGTAATCTTGGAAGCGGACTGCAGGACACTGTCAAACCCTGAAGCCAGGAGAAGGAAAGTTAAAGACACAGTCTCCTAAGTCCCTACTACTCGTCACCATTTTTTTGAATCACAGGAAACAAACCAAGGACACCACTTCTCAACTGCACAAACCAATCAAAGTTAGCACATGCCAACCCTATTCCATTGCTGTCTGCGCTCCTTCCATCTACTTTGAAATGGCACACACAGATGTATGAACCCACCCAGTAAGGTGATTCACTGAGTTAAACAAAGAAAACTAAAACCTACCCGAAAAAAGTATAAACACACGGTTTTCCCCATTACAGGCAGGTTGGCATAATATACCGGGCAGAAACAACCACAGGAGAGCCAGGAGGAACAACAGGGCTGCAGCAGCGCTGAGGTCTGTTCAATAACACTTTCGGCTCTCACCCTTTTATGATATGTATCATTAGACCATAAAAAAATAAAGAAGGGATCTCCAAGCATGAAATTTGAAGGAACTTCTACAAATTAGCATTTGACAAACTGTCTTGTACAGTAATGAAATTAGAGATGACTGGATGCCACGGAGAGCAGAGTTGAACTGGATCGCAACAGTGGGGGCTCAGATCAGCTTAAATTGTTTTCTAAATATTAAAACTGCTCTCAGGATTTACTTCTCAATTTTGCTTTTCTCACCTCATTATAAGTCTGGCTTCTTGCTACTCTAGGAGCTACTACAGAACTTTCACTTCTCCCCAAACTTTCATTACCAATGAGATTCTGATGCTCCTATCATGCATATCCTTCTCCAGTCCCAATCACTTTGTCCAGGTGGAAACCTCATGCTCTGTTTTCTCACAGAAGCAAAAAAAAAAAAAAAGTGCAGCAAGTGCCATCCGATATCTGAAGCACTTCAACAGCTCCTGAAGTTAGCCAACCGACTTCAGCATTCAGAAAGGCTTCAATGTTCAGAAATTTCTACAATTACAGAATGATTTTACCCAAGTTTCAGACTATACCACATCTGACAGTATTTGAGCGTATGAGTGGATTTTACTGCAGTGCTAAGTCAGAACAATTCTGTTCTTTCAGTGATGTGCGACGTATCTCACAAGGAGCTCAGCTCTACCTCCAGAGTAAGTAAACTTTGGAACATAGTACTTAAGAAGCATAACGTTACCTGAAAAAGTTAGCTAGAAATTACAAAAGCAAGAGGCATGCTCACAGGAAAGCAAAATACCCCATGTGTTATTTAAAATATGCCACAAGTTTTAATAGTATGTATTTAGGGTCTATTGCTACACATTTCTAGTTATAAATGATTTTATGTAAAAGGACACAAGGGTCCACCTGAATACTACAGCTGGTGAAATTCAGTGTGATCCGACCTCCCAGCAGGAATCAACTAAAATAAACTGCATGAAATCATGAAATTATGGTTCTGCATGCTGCATTGACAGCCAAAAGAATTCTAGTTATACCACCAAGACTGACTGAAAAAAGGTTTCCATTTCTCTGCCAGCAGAATGTAATTTAGTAAGAGACTAACACGACAGCTCTTTTGAAGAGGACACAGGGCTCAAATAAAACCATCTGCTACAGCTCTAAAATGAAGAGATTGCCTTCCAATCCAACATAGAGGCAGCTAACCTGCACATAATCTCAACACCATGTTCGCAGTCCATTTTAGCTTAAATAATGCTTTCTGCCATGCGTGCAATGAGGAAAATCACCTGCAGCAGCAGAGCAAGATTGACAGCTAGCACTGGTACCATTATAAAAACTGCTTCAGCTAAATCCACAAGAGCTCAGCTGTCAGCATCTTTCCTTCCCATCTCTCTTTCAGCAGTTAGCAGATGCAGTTCAAATTTGGCCAAAAGTTTTCCACTCACATCCTTGCATGGATATATCCAGCTTAAAATGACTAAAATTATCCTAAGAACTTCTCAGATGACACAGATTCCTCTCAAGTTGAGTGAAAAACATGAAACAAAATAAAATTCATTCTTCCCTAAAATTAGGAGTATTAATATTGTCATCTCATTATCGACGTCAGCTGTGACACTCTCCTGCCAAAAGGCTTGCAGTAACAACATTCTTGCAGTAATATCTTGATTTTTTTCTTGAAAGTTCATCTATAACTTAAACTATTTAACCAAGACAGCCAAGTCATGACACCATGAAATACCAGTACTAAATTCCACAATAAAGTTTCATGAGATGTTGTTTCTCTTCAGTTCAGTTGATAACACTCTGCAGAACCTTCTGGTTCACCTTCAGAGCTACTAGTGAAATGAGTCCCAAGCTTAGGTCTCATCTGTTCCTAAAGAATTTCAGATTTTACCTAGGAAATTATTACTAATGTCGAAAGAATCTTCTCCAAAAATTCTTAACACTCATGGAAGGACTCACTTTGATGGATATCCTAGTCTGCTTAAGACTCTTTTCAAGAGCCCCAAAGCCAGAGTTCAAGTAGTCTGGCTCAAAGGAGATGCAGAGACTAGATACCACATTACGAAGGAGTATCAGATATTTCGAGGACATTCCTACTAGAGATGACAACAAATTTACAACTGTCTACAAAACCAATGATTCAGAAGTGCCTGTGTGAATACTTCTTAAATAAGAAAGTACGTGGGAACGCAGCATGGGAAATCATAAACTAGAAATGGAAAGCTGAGTATTAAGGAATGGTGACCCACAGCGACTACTAAGAATGATGGCCCAACACTTAGGTCATGGTTACCACAGCAGCGGCTGCTGATGACTGCCCCACGCAGGTCTAGTCAAAAGTCCCCTCATCTGTTACACCTTCTACAGGCATGAAAAGAGATACCTCTGCTCTTGCTTGCTTCGGACAAGGATTCCTTGAGTACTACAAAAGTAGACTTTCAGATACAAGAGGAGGAACATTCTCTGAAGAGTCTGGTCAAGAGTTTTTTTGCCTTTTTGTTTGTTTTTTAAGCAAGCATATAGTGGTACTGTACTGATTCCTGAATGTATATTTGATTCGTCTTTCCTGCTCCAATTATGTACGTAGGTGGACAAACCGGTGCACGTTTCTT